AGGTATGCAGTTAAGATGATTGGCCCCTTAGTTTGAACGTTTTATCCTTTATTTATTATAAGTAATTTTTACATTTTACATCCGTGTGTAATCGTGGGTCACCTGTAAACTATTACTACTACCTTTCTTTCTTTCTCTCTAATAATTACGCGACGACGACGATGTTAGTTGAGGCGGCAGCATTGACGGAGGTATGCGGTGGCAATTGGTGAATTGGTTTTTACGAAGCATACATAATATCATATACAGTATAAGTAGTATATAAACGTACCAGTGGCGTATCTAGATTGAGCACGAAGTTTACCCTAAAAAAAAAACACAACCCCCCCCCTCCAGTTGTCCCCTATTGAAAATGCTCGAAGCAAAAAAGTCACACTCAAGTAGTTACTAATCACCGCATTTTGCTACCTCAGGCCCGTAGGCAGGATTTTCGATGGGGAGGTGCGTTTTTGCGACAGAGGCGGACCTTAGAATGGGCGACCGCCTAAGGATCCCCGCGGGAGGGGGAGGCGAATCCCCCGGGAGCTCAGACAAATTAGCATTTTGAGGGCCTTATAATGGATTTCTGAAACCTATAATTCGGATTATTCTCTGTAAATTTTCATTCATTTGGGTATTGTTTAGGGGCATAAAGCAGGAGAAATAGAGGGTGGGGTCCAGGGCCGGGAGGAACTTTCACAGACGGATGGTCAATACCACCTTAGCCCCACCACCATGGTTGGGGCTGAGATAAGAAAATTTATGATTATGGCACCTCTAGATGGCCGGAAATGGCACTCTCAAAACAAATTTAATTATGATTTTTCTTTTTTCTTCATTTCTTTTATAATTTTAGGGAGCTCCCCCCACCCCCTAATCCACCATCTGTAGGTCTACAGATGACATCGTTCAATCTGCAATCACTGGAGCTGAAAATTTCCAACAGATTACGTAGCACGTTATTAAAAATCAACGGTTAGAAGAGCGGGCATTATAAGATCAATCTGCAGTCACCGGAGACGATAAATTTCCAACAAATTTCATATCATATTTAAAATCAACGGCTGGATGTGCTGGCAAATATATAATGCAATGCATGCTATAGCATTTTGTGATAATTAAGAACGATTTTGTAAAATAATAGGTTTTAAAACGTGTACCTTTTGGAATTTGGGGGGGGGGTTGCGTCCGCACCCTCTGCACTACCTGCCTACGGGCCTGTACCTAGTGCCTTCCACTTAATAATTTAGTTCCCACTCTACCTTCATCAACCGCCCTCCCCATCACCCGCCCCTCCCTATTTCAAGACTCCTAAATACACCACTGAAACGTATTCGTTTTCGTTGTTTCCCTTACGAAAATACAGTGTTGGGAGACCTACCTCGGCCAGGAGATGTACAAATTATGTATCACTGATTTCGCCGCAGTCATCGGTGTTATAATCTTCTACGAATTTCCTCGAAGGTAACTTATACTTTTATATGTATAGGCTGTACTTTTGTATATTTATTTATATATGTGTGTGCGTACGTGTGTATAGAATCTGTCATAATATTTTATATATTCTTTTACAATAATTATATATATGTTTTTCTCTTTAAAATATAACGTAGATTTACTCTTGTTGCGTTATATACATTTTGTAAAAAAGTACCATTGTTGGAAAAAAAAAAAAGATTCTACAGACGTATTTTAAACTGCTGAATACACACCAGTTCTTACCCTAACATAATAAAGGGTGAACATGTAATGACTTCCAAACGTGGTAGAGTTGGCAAATATTCAAATTAGTCTTAGGGAAAGATTAACTCAAGGATATTAAACCATTATCTTTTAAGGATTTAAGATATAAATATAAAAATTAACCTGAGGAAAACAAGTTTTAGATCTTTAGAAAATGTGTTTTCGTATGTTTTCGTTGCATTAGCGGTCTCGAATTTGTGGGATCGCAAAGTAGATGGGTCTCGAATTGAATTGTGCACTGTATTTAATACGTCTCTTTTTTGTTATGTTATTGAGTCCAAAAGCAGTAAAATATACACTACATATCATTTATCTCTTGTGTTGCTTTTCAACACTGCATTACTCTTGTTGCTCTCACTGGACTGCAGCATGGCTTTGCATTATTTTCTTCGGCCAAGATCACCATGGCCTCTTGGTTTAGGGTTCAAGTCTGTTTCAGCTTTTCTTGCAGGTAGACCTATTCTAATTATACTAAGAAAGATCCATTTAGTCTTAGAAGGCAATATCCATTATCCCCCTCCGTATTTCACCTTTTGAAGATATTGCAAATAGAAAGATCCTTCAAGAATATTAGGTGGGACCGCCGGGCGGGAAGGCGTCATCGTAAGCCAATCCCTAAGCTGACTGTCAATAGATCTTCCTGTTACAATTGCACAGGCGGTGGCAATCACCTTAAAACCTAGTTTCAATACCATTGAAATTCTTTGGAAATCATGGTATTTACAGAGACTTGGAAGACCGGTTCAAAGAGCCTACTGATGGTCAGACTTCTTCGCGACTTCATGCAGACTGTCACATTAAAATTTCTTTCATCGCTCCCGGTTCCACTGTGGGGGTGATGTTAGGAATTTACTTAGGTGGTTACAATGTTCACAACAACGATTGCTATGACTTCAAGTACATCAATCTTAAAATTTCATCTTCTTCCTCAAGTCTTAATATCTATAAACCATTCTGAAATCTGGCAAATAAAAACTGTTGATAGACAAAACTATAACGATAAGTGCAGAGATTACAGTCGACATCTAACTTATTTCAAGGACAATTTTCACGTTAAAATTCAAGGCAAAAATCTATCATTTCCTTTTTGTCAAAGATATTTGAGAGGAATGTTAAGTTCAGCTTCAGGCACACATGACGAGTATACGAACTCTTAGTCGAGTCACCAGCATATCGCAAGGAGCATAGTGTTGAAACTTCACTTGTAAAAGCACAAGACGACATACTTTGTAAATTGGACAAGCGTAAAGAAATGCTAACATCCATTCTTGATTTCAGTGCCGCCTTTGACATTTTAGATCATGCTGCACTTTTACATCGTTTGTCATATCGTTTCGATATAGAGAGCACCGCCCCCTAACATGTATCCAATCCTATCTTGGGGAACGTCAACAGTCCTGTTGCACTAAGGCACTTTTCACAGGAAAGGCAGAGCTCTTACGGTGTACCACAATGCTGTTTTAGGACCATACTACAAATCAACTAGAAGGCATAATTGAGACCATGCTTGTCGTCGTGTCATTTTCTATGCGGATTACACACAGATATATGCCCTTTTGAATCCAAGAGCTATGTCAAAACTTCCAGCTTATATTCTATATGTTAGGTCATGGGCTCTATATCGAACAATCTTATTTTGAATGCATCTAAAACTGAGGTCATTCACTCTGTTTCTCACCATTAAAATTCCATCGCAATCACTTCTATTGAGATCGATGAGTGTACTCTATTACTCGACTCTAATCTTCAGTTAATAAAGAACACATAAGTAACATTAATTACCAGAATTACGAAGTACAAGACAAAAAGACGAATGAAAGACTGGTACATCCCATACAAAAAAGTTCTATAGAGCTCTATAGAATTCTATAGAACTTTATATAGAGTTCTATGTAACTCTATAGAGGCAAAAAATTTCTATAGAAATGTTTTATAGAGTTTACGCATTCTATAGAATTTTAATATTTTCTATATAATGTTGTATTCCACTCTCCACAAAATTAGTTTGTTGCAGAATTTATGTATTGGTGACTTACACTGGATTTTCAATAAATGTGTTATTGCAGAAGCTTGGTTTTGAACATGAAACATTATTAAATAATAATAATAATAAAAATAATAAATAAAACTATTGCATTTGGCTCATGGTCTGATGTTGAGTAACTAAATAATGCATAGAGTTTAATGTGTGTATCATTTTGTCGCAAATAATTATGCTTCATATTTCTGGAGAAATTTTATAGGAATCTATAACATTTTCTTTAGAAACTATACAGAAATTCTATAGAAAATTCTATAGACATCTATAACATTTGCTTTAGAAGTTGTCTAGGAATTCTATAGAATATCTGTTTGGAAATGTATAACAGATGCATAAGTTACAGTATTAATTAGCATGCTCACATTTTAAGTTAAAATGTTAAAAACATTAAGCGTTTAAGTTACATTAAACATTTAAATTAAATTAAACATTTAATTAAATGTTAAAAACAGCAAATAATTAGCCTTACAACACATTTTAAAATTTAAATGAAAAATGAATTTAATGCACATATTTGTAACAAATACTTAATCTTACAAAATCCTTAACCACAAACCACCATTGTGACCATTTTAAAGTTACTGTTGTGTAACCTAAAACCTACTTTAATCATTCCAGATGGGAGAGATAGACATCGTTTTCTATAACCAGACAATGGATCAGGCCGTGATAGGGGTCCAATTTATGAGTTGAGTTGTACGATTTAGTAAATTATTTAGTGTATGAAATGAAATGCTATAAAATTTATACTGTCTTACACAAAACAAATGATTAATTACAGAAGGTTTCATACAAATACATTTAATAAGAATTATAACTGGTCTTAAATTGAATTCCCCTCCCCTCTATTAAACATGGTACATTCCACAACAGGGTGGTAAAATTTGAAAGCTAACGGAACGGTCTTCATCGACATCTCTCGCTCGCTGCTCCCTTTGTTGTTGTAGTGTCCTCCTTTTGTTCAGTAATAATTGGAGTAATAATCGCAAAATGATATTTTATTGAAATGGTTAATACCTGTAGCAATGTCATGTACTAGTTAAATGGATTGAATAAGGATTTTGGACGTTCTTCTGCTAAAACTCAGCCTAGCTAGGATAGGATAGCCGCTAGGCCTAGGCCTAGGCCTATTATATTGCCATTGGAAAAAAAGGAGAAGAGTCCGCACCATGCCAAGGTCTATGCACAGTCAGTATTGTGGTAAGTAAAGAAAAAATAATCTCCTTTCGTCCATAAATGTACGCCTTCCACATATATACGCCTAGTTACTTATTCTAGCCTAGGTAGGTATAATTTTGTAGCTAGGCTAAGTATCAAGTTTAGTTCAGTCAGTGCAGTGGCAGTGTTTCTGTTAGTATACTGTACTGTTTAGGCCAGGCCCTAGGCTAAACCTAAGAATTGAGTAAAAAAGTGCAACAGGTC